TTTATATTTTTTGTAGAAAGTCTACTCCTAGGATTCCTTCATAATCAATTGGGAAGTCGTCCTTCACGATATAAATTGAGTGCCGTATTTTTCGGTTCTTCAGGATTATCGTTGCCTTGATTTTTCCTATTGTATTCATTTTGTGTCCTGTAACTCCAGTGAGTGCCATTTGCTCCTTGTAAATCATGGTTTCTCCTCTTACATTTCTTAACTTTATTAATGTAACCGTTGCTCCTGTGTCAAACAGTAGGTTTAATTTGCCTTTTTTAACTTCCTGGATGGGAAGAGTTACTAGATCTAATCCAGTTTTTGTTTGCGGTTTTCCTGTTACTTGCGATATTTGATACTCGAGGGCTGGTCTCGGCTGTCTTGTATTCTCTTCGTCTTCTTGTTCATCCTCGTCTTGCGTTGTATTTTTCCTTTTTTGCCCATTCGTTTTATTACGATTTTGTGGCTTTTTATTTTCGTTTGATTTCGTCCGGTTAGATTGTACTATCCCTGGGCGTCCGTGTAGACTCCAGCATTCATCTCGACCATGACCTGATTTTTTGCAGTAGGTGCAATGTTTTTCGAGTGTATTTATTCTTGATTGTCCCTGTGGCTTCGGCAAGGAGAATCGGTTTGAATATCTGCTTGTTCGGCATCCTCGTCCGTGATGCCCTAGTTTTCCGCATTTATTGCATTGTAATACTTTATTTCGCGCTGCTTGCGAAATTGTATGACTGGGCTTATGTCGCGATGCATGTTCTAATAGACCCTTGACTTTCTCTTCCGCATTGGCTCCTGCGATTGCTTCTTGAAGCGTTGAGTAATGCTGTGCTCGCACTACCAATTTGATCATCGTGGAGATCTATTTTGAAATTTTGCAGAGCTTGCTGTTGTATAGTTTCAAGTATAATGCGTTTCCGTTCGCTGCCGTAATCTTGGCCTTCGATCATGGATTCATATAATTCCATGGCCAAATTGTCGGCGCGAAGCCCGTATGCTTTGGCGGTCTCGCCGGCTTTTCGTTTTAAGGAGTTAAACTCGATTTGCAAGTGAGTAATGCTCTTCTTGCTTAAATAGCAGATTTCGAGTTCTCTTTTAAACTGTCCGAAACTGTTTATATTTCGCGTTTCAAAGTCTACCATAGCTTTTTTCTTTAGCTTTGTGCAAAGTATTGCTTCTAATAATGTTTTTTCATCTGCGGGATTAATATTTTTTATCGCGTATGAACATGCGCTTAAAAATTCTTTAAGTTTAGCTTGTGAATTTCCGTCAAATTCCGGAATCATATCTCTTGCTTCTTTTAATCGTAAATGACCGTTTAAAGGTGCCGATTGATTTCGAACATCGTTAAGTGTTCGTCCGTATGTGACATCAAAGTTAGTGTCATTCGGTATTGTTCGCGTTCTATTTAAATCTTCCCGATTTGCGCGTAGATCGTGTATTTGCTCGTGTAATTCTCTTATTTCTTCT